GGAGCGAGTGCGTAATTCGAAAAAAGCCTCTAGTCTCCGAGCAGCAGTTTTGCTTCCTTTCACTTTCTGATATTATCTTCAGCTTAATGGAAACAAAGTTCTTGAATAAAATTTAGTAACAAGTAGTTGAAACTTTGTTAAAATAAAGAAGAAGATTTAGTCCTTAGGTTAAAAAGTAAAGCAACAAAAAACAGAAGAAGAAAACCGGTCCGTTCACTTTAAAAAGAGAGGGGAAAAAGGTTGCGAGCACTTCAATCCACAAAATATAATTACAAAAAAAAAAGAAACACTTTCCAAGGCAATCCACTGCAGGTTAATTTTGCCGCTTATTTCTTCTACTTAAGGATTTAATTATCTGAAAATTTTGGGGGGGGCAATCTTTCTCAAAACAGAAAAAGTTCTCACCAGATGGACACACTTTCTCTTTCTGTTTTCCTTCCGTTCCAGAGCCGTCCCTACTTCATCAGCCTAGGTTGCTTTTTGTCGCCAGCTTGAAGACCTTCTCTTGGATCAATCAGGGACTTTGCGGGGTCCCTGAGATCAGCAAGACATAGTCTTCCTGTTCACCGTCTCTTCGGGACGGTTTAGGTCCGATTGGACCACCCAGCGGCAAAAGTATCGGCGTTGGTCTCAGAGCATCGAGACCGCACGTCCGTACCGGCGCAATGTTGGCTCTTCTCCTCACTACTTTCTAAAGTATTTTAAGTATTTATTTGTACTTTTTAAAAGCTAAGTTATTTTTCTAGATATAGAGGGATGAGGGCTCTTTTTATCTTAATTCCAATTGGATTTTGCAGCATATTTATTTCTCTAATTATTTTAGCCACAGCTGCAGTTTGACACTGTTAGGCCTAACTGCCACATTTACCTTTTAAACTTGTTTGTGTTTCTTAAATTATGAAAAATTATATTCATAATAAGGATCACATAGTTTTTGAAGAAAGAAAAATTCTTGTAACTCTTTAGTAAACTTTGCAAGCATTTGAGCAGTGAAAACACTTATGGTATTTACCGTAGCTATCCTTGTTAATAGTGACGTCTATCCAGACTGCTCTTTGTTTTGCTTCCCTCTCCTAATCAAACCTAAGGTATAGTAAACCTCTTTATATTCTAATATCCACTTACAGTGGTTTGACATTTTGGCCAAATAAACAAATACTGACTTGTTTCATTTAAACTAGAGAATTACTGTAGCAAGTTGGAGTTTGTGAGCCTGAGGTTCTTGGTTATCTTTCAAAGGCATGGCTTTTTCTTATAAAAAGGGAAAGGCCTTTCTTGCTAAATTGTCATAATAAGAAATGGTATAATTTATCAACTTCTTTCATTGTATGTTGTTTTGCTTTGTTATATGTAGCTCTTAAATAGGACTGAGCTTACTTTAAAAACTGATTTGGAAGAACTATTTTTAACTCATCCAAGCATGAAACCTTTTTACTATACATTTAAAAAGTCCAGGTTTCTTTCAAGCTTCCCCATAAGTCTATTATTAATTACTATTAATTAGATTCATTGTGATTAGTCAACTCCTTAAAGTAGTAGCACCTTCTTTCAGGCTAAATGTGAAAGCATGAAAAAAGACCTGATGCTTTAATAAGTAGGAGAGAAGTACAGATTTTTCATGAGGATCTGACCATTCCTTCCAAATAATTTTCAAATTGTGCAGGGCCCTGTTGTGAATGTTTTTCTGATAGTTGAAGCAACCAGTTTGAAAAATACTTTCACAGATAATTTCCCTACTATTTCTTCCTGATGTTTTAAAAATAAGTTTTAGATGTAGCAATAACACTGTGGCTTCTGTGTAATTAAAAATAGCCTTCTTTCAATTTTTAGGGTGTTCCTGGACCGAGCATATTCAGAAAACAACAGTCCATTTTGCCAGCTGGATTCAGAAATACTTTCCTCACAACTACACTCTTCAGTCAATCAATTTGCCAATACCTCAGAAACAAATACCTCAGACAGAAATTTCTTTAAAGACCTCAGTCAGATACNTATATTAGTTTCACCTTTTAAGTTGCATTACTGAAATAAATGAACTTTTGCACGATATTCTAATTTTTCGAGTTTCACCTGCAAATGTGCTTAAACTATGTGAATTGTTAAATTGATTCCAAAAGATTTCAAGATAACTGGTATCTAGGTAGAAACTCTTATTAATCTCTGTGGTAAGAAATTTTGATAGTCTATTAGGTTAAAGCTTCCTATGAACTAATCCTGTTTGATCTTGAAAATCCAAGCTAAGTCAGACTTTGTCAGTATTTGAATGGGAGACCACCAGGAAATCCCAGGGCTGTGAATCTCAATTGTGAAGTTGAAAAAAAAAATACAGAAGAAAATTCATAACTAGAAATGTTCATGAAGTCACCATGTGTTGTGGCCCATGGGGAGGAAGAACAGCTGGGGCCTGTTCCAGATGCACGTAAGCACAGAGCTGTTAGGAGAGGAGAACAAACTGAGGACAAGGAGTCAACTTGGAAGCAAGGCACATGTGGATGCTGAATGGCCCCTCCCTGGCTGCAGAATAAATAGAAGGAAAGGGGAGTGCCTCAGAGACTGCTTGCCAGAACTTAATTTACAGCTTTGTGGATGGAAGCTCCTGGCCTGGCAATTATCTCAAGGAACTGATAAGGTCTGTTACTTTGAAGGATTATTGCCTGGACTTTTCAGTGTGAATGCCATTAATTCACAGAAGCTAAATAAAGAGGGGTTTTTCGGACAAGGAGTCTGTTTTTTGTTTCTGCTAAGGCTGGGTCAGAACACCATGATTTGCAGTCATCTTGAAAGAGCCTTGACCAGATTCTCTATTAGGGAAGGAGAAATTCCTCTTTCCCTCTCATTTTATCACAATAGTACATTTAAAAAAAAAAGTTTCTAAAACTTTGATATTCTCCTAATGGATTTACTCAGATAAAACCATTAATGCATTTTCTCTTCATGCAGCAAGAGAAAGCTGATGCTATACGACCGAAGAGAAAATATGAGAAGAAGCCCAAAATTGTATCTTCATCAGCTGCTATTGCTACTCAGCAGTCAATTCCTGCTGCACTGCCAATCTTTAATGTTAAAGATATGAATCAGTACGACTTTCCCAGCTCTGACGAAGAACCTCTTTCTCACGTATGACGTCTACAGTTTCTTTTGTTCAAAGGGAGGAAAGNGTCATTTTAGGCCTCGGACACCATCCCTACATGACAGTGATGAATTTTCCTATAGGAAATTACACAGGAGCGTAAATCAAGCAGGCACAGTACAACCTGGGACCCAGACATGCAGTACCTCTATACAAAGTAAAAGTAGTAGTGGTTCAGCACACTTTGGTATGTTGATTTTCACAAACTTAATTCTAAACATACTTTTGGCAAAACTCCAATATTTCCTCCATAATTTTTCTCTGTTGGTGATGTTTATGTTGCATGTTTAAACACCATGCTAAAGTTAAAGATTAATATAGTAGATTTGGTCCAGATTTAGTTTGTACTTTAATTATTGAATCCAGTCCCCCTATGATTCTATGTTTTTAAATGTTTATTTAGTAGAATTTTATCGTTTGTTCCTTAAATTTGTTAATCTTCGCTGTTTTATTTATATTTACTACTTTTGACAATTTATAATTTGCTATTAAGTGCAAAATAAGGAATTGGTTTAAAATGTCCAAGATATTGATGCTTAGAATCCAAAATCTAACAGTATACGCAATCATGAAATGTCCTACATATACAATGATTTGTTGGTTTAAAGGACCAATTTGTCAGTTTTGTTTTATTAAGACAAAAAGCTTAGAGATCACCACTGAAAAACCTGTAGCCTGTAGTCCCTTTGGCAGTGTGAATACCATTCTATATCAGATCTTAAGGAGATGGTACAAATAGAATTTGTTTTTTAGAAATGATACTAATCTTTTGAAAGGAAGCAATTCTGTGCTGACTTCTAGTAAAAGGATCTTGCTTAAAAGAGTCTTATACAATGCTATCTAAAAATGAGCATGAATATAATTTAACACCAGTGGTTTGAGGGCAGTTCAGAATTATATCTCCAAACTGTAAATTACTGGTCAGAAGGATATGGCCTTCTGACTGAACAGCACTGCTATAGAATTCTGGAACCAGTTGCCAAGACTGAGATTGTGTTGGTTAAATATGTAATTTTCAAACGTAAACCTTGAGAGTTTAATTTTTCAACTGTGATCATCTTCTTTCTATCTTCTATAACTGACACAAACCTCTTTTAAATTCTTTTTATATTGATGATATTTTTTTTATTTCCAAAGTTAAAATACAAAATCCAAAAAGAAGAAAGAAAAAAAAGAACAAAACAAAGACAAAAACAAAAAGAAAAGAAAAAAAAGGTGTGTAAACAAAATATCAAACATACACATAAAATGCCCCCCCCTCCCGGTTGAACACTGATAAATATAATTCAGCAATAGTAATTGTTTCCACCCATCCCCTTGCAAAACAGGTCCACAATTTATGAACTTCTATATCTATATTGGCAAAATTGCTATATAACATTAAAAATATCACAAGACTACATTAAAATCATCCAGCTCCCATCTTTTTTTATAACTCACTTTTGGGGGCATTGTAGAGAATATATGATATGTAGTGCTCAAAGTCCTTAATTTATTGTTTGATTTTAATATCCAAATCCCTCTTATAGCTGCGCTTTCACAGCAAAGTATAGACGTGCCCTTCTTAAGGGCCAAGAGAGTGTGTTCCATAACAAAGTAACCACAAAAGAAACTGAGATAATACAGGTAGTCCTTAACTTACAACAGTTCATTTAGTGACCATTTGAAGTTACATCACTGAAAAAGTGGCCATTTTTCACACATTGTAGCATCCTCATGGTCACATGATTTACATTCAGATGCTTGACAACTGACTTACATTTATGATGGTTGCAGTGTCCCAGAGTCATGTGATCGCCTTTTGTGACCTTCTGACAAGCAAAGTCAATGAGGAAACCAGATTCACTTAACAACCGTTACTAATTTGACAGCTGCAGTGATTCACTTAAGAAATGTGGCAGCTTCTGGTTGACATCACGGCGATATCAGACACAGGGAACAAGTCTCTGCGTTCCCTGTGCTGACTTCCCCCTGCTGGTGGGCTCCGAGAAGAGCCAAAGCCGCCTTGTAGGGACGGTGAAGCAAAGAGGGGCACCCTGTGAGGTCGAGGAGAGACGCAGCTCTCCTGTCTGAGCCAGGGTTTTTCTTCCCTCTCAGCCATGGCAAGGAGAAGAGACAGCCTGAAGATGTCTGCCACAAAGCTGGGACAACCGAAGAATAACAACTAAGACTGGTGCTGGAGTAAAGTAGGTGAACAGTGACTGGAACTGGGGGAGAGGATTTATTTTTGCCTTAAACTTAACCCCAAGGAACAATTTGGAACTATTTGCTCAGAATTATTTGTTAAAGCGGCATCTAAGCATTCTGAGAAATACCAGACTCGAAGAGGAAGACACACGAGAGAAAAATAATAAATTTTGAAATGTATAGAAAATTGGACTCTTAAATTGGGAAGACACGGTACTGGGAAGGCATTTTTAAACACTGGAATTATTTACCTATAAAATTTATTCTGCTTTTATAATTGATTTATAACTAAAATGACAAATGCCGAGTGGTAATACTAAAACCTAAGTTGAGAGTGCCACCTGTTGACAAAAGGAAACACTACAAGCCTGGAAATCTTATGAGAAGGACTGTGAAAATATTTACTGGATTATTCCCAACTACCCCAGGACTACTGGAGATTTAAATATGAAAATAAGCAAGCTACTCAATTACTTTTGATAACCTCTGGGACTATTCAAATGGAACAGACTGTTTACTTTTGGGATATAAAGAACTGTGATTAGTGCACCCCTTGAAGGGCAACCTAAGGACTGAATAAATAGCTTTTGGACTGTTGAAAAATAGTGGAACTTTTTTAAAAAACAAAACAAGATGTTTTATAAGGAAGAAACAAGTGAAACATGGAAGGAGATGGTGTTACTTTTTCAAAACACAAAGGATATTATGGAGAAACGATTTAAGGAGATACAGAAAAAATGGAAAATGCTATACAAGGGATGATGAGTAAAGTTCAAGACTCCCAGGAAAGGGAGGAGCTAACAGTAGAAATGGAGGCAAAAACAGACAAAGAACCAGAGAATAAAAGAAGACGACAAAGAGGAGACAACAAAAGAAAGTAACAGTGACTGGTGAATTAAACCAGGGGGGAAATACAGTTGCAAGAAAAAGTATGTGAACCCCTTGGGATTACATGGAGTTTTGCATGAATTGGTCAT